TTAATTCTCTCAGTAAATGTTTGTTGAGTTCCTACTATGTGTTAGGCACCATTTGGGGCACTGTGTATCTGGTCCTTCAATGCTGATATGGAAGATAAATCAGAAGTAGGCAAATATCTAATGTAATGTCAGGTAGAGATAAAAGTAAGAAAACCAATAAAGCTAGGAATGAGGGTGGTGGTGGAGTCTATGTTTTAGATGGGAAGATTTGTGAAGGCCTATCTGTGGCACTGGAGGTGACACTGAAGCAGAGGCTGAGTGAAACTAGGTGGTAAGCCATGCACAGATCTGGTAAAAAGAGACTCCACCTGCCCACCCCCCCCACCAAAAAAAAGAGATTCCCAGCAGAGAAAGGGGCAAATACAAATGGCCTTGATAGAGAAGAGCTCAGCCTGTTTCAGGAAGAGCTCAGGAGCCTGTGTACCTAAACAAAGTGTGGGAGGAAAGTCTTGGGATATCAGACTGGAAAGGAGGTTAGAGCTGGATCATGCAGGGCTCCTAGATCTGCTAGCAGGAGCCCAAGATATAGGGTGTCCATAATCCATTGTGGTTTGGTTATCTAATAAATTCACTTCCATGTAAAGTATAAACAATTTGTGATATGCATCTGGAGAGAATTTGCTAGAGATTTAAATAAAGTTGCATGTGCCTCGTTTTTTCCTTTCTTTCATTTTGCAGGTAACAAGCTCCTCATTACACTGAGACGGCTATAGCCAAGTGTATCCAAAACGATGGTGGGTGCATTAAAAGTAGACTTCCCTGCAACCAACTATGCTAAATACTGATTAGATTTTCTCTTCTGTTGCCTTTAGCAGATTGTCTCTATTTTGTACAGAAGTGAATTTTTTATACACTCAAATTGTACAAGGACTCCCTGGATGCCCTGTTCATCCCTACTTCTCCTCTAAAATACTTCCCACCTTCAACCCCAGAGAAAATGTTGCTACCACCTTCTGTTCCTTGATTTTGTTGGAGTTTTTTCCCCCTAAATTTTTATTGTGGTAAAACATACATTAAATTTACTATTTTAGCCATTTAAAAAAATTTTTAAAATATTTTATTTATTCATGAGAGACATAGAGAGAAAGAGAGGCAGAGACATAGGCAGAGGGAGAAGCAGGTTCCCCACGGGGAGCCTGATGCAGGACTCAATCCTGGGACCCAGGACACGGGGATCACGCCCTGAGCCAAAGGCAGACACTCAACTGCTGAGCCACCCAGGTGCCCTATCTTAGCCATTTTTAAGCGCACAGTTCAGTGGTATTAAGTACATTCAGTGTTGTGCAGCCATTACCACCACCCATTTCCAGAACTCTTTCATCCTATAAAATTGAAACTCTAATCCTGTGATATAATAACTCCTAATTCCCTCTTCCCCCAGATCTTTAATGACTCAGATGGCCTCTCCTGCATTCCCTAAACCCAAGCACTAAGCAGTCTCTTAAAACAACTTAAAATAATTTCTTTTGTGACGTTAGTGTTCACTTTAAAAAAACCCGTCTCTTTTTTCTTTTCTCTCTCCTAGATAGCAGCCTTACTACCTCCCCTGAGGAACAGAAGTCTTTTCTCTCTCTCTCTGGCTCTTAAGTCAGCAGCAAGTATTTTATAAAATAACAAAAGCCTATAATGTCCAGATCCCAAAGCTTGGGAGGTAGAGGTGGTGTCAGGGAGTGGGGTTCTTAGAGTGTTAACTGTATGGCATCATCATTCTGAAAAGCAATTTTGTAGTAGCTAGCAAAAGACACACAGATGCTTTAATTCGTTGACCCAGTAATTCCTCTTAGACAATCAAAGATATGCACAAATATTTATGTTCAGCACAATGTTCTACATAATAGTGAAAACCAGGTATTGCCTCTATGTCCACTGGTAGGGACTTGGCTAAAGTCTATATGCAATCATTAAAAATCATGTTTGAGTTTAATACATGGGAAAATGTTTATGCTATAATGTTAAATGAAAAATACAAGATAAACTGTATGTTATGATCTCAAATTTTTTCTTAAATTTGTATCTGCAAAGAATAACTGTAGAGAACCACCTCAGTGTTAAACAATTCTCAAGGAGATGGAATAGTGTGCAATTTTAACTTTTTATGTATTTAAAATTTATTTTTGGTTTCCACTTAAATCAATGAGGAAATATGGAGTAAAAGAGTAATTTTCCAACTGAGCATGTTTTGTGGTTTCTAGTGCTGTGTAGGGTGTGCCTGTGGAGGAACTGTGGCTGTTGCCTAATGACATGTCTATTCATCAGAAATGGAAACATGGTGCCCATATCCTTGAGAAAATGAGTTGGCCTTTCTATGCGTGGAGGGTGTCTTGAAGAGAAACCGATATTTCTAAATTTGTTAAGAACTACTTTTGTCGGGATCCCTGGGTGGCGCAGCCGTTTGGCGCCTGCCTTTGGCCCAGGGCGCGATCCTGGAGACCCGGGATCGAATCCCATGTCGGGCTCCCGGTACATGGAGCCTGCTTCTCCATCTGCCTGTGTCTCATCCTCTCTCTCTCTCTGTGACTATCATAAATAAATAATAAAAAAAAGAACTACTTTTGTCAGTTGCTCTCAGATGACACCACTTTGGGGTAGCCCACCATGGGGTTGCCACTTAGTGAAGCAGACAGTATTACTATTAAGTCATGTTGAAACCGAGTGGTGCCTGTGGGCCAGGGGAGTGGAGAAGAAAATTAACTTCTGAATTGGGACAGACTACCCTAATTTTGAGGGCAGTAATGAGACATCAATATGGGGCCAGGTGATACCCAAGATGGACCTCTCAGTCAAGTTGTCATGTTCCCATGTGTAGTTGTCGGCCCTGTGGGGCCAGAGGTAAATTCCCTGGGTGCTCAGGGACAGACTGGCAAAGAGAGATAAGGGAAAGCCCACCAGACCTTATATACATTGCAGATGCAGTGGGTTATAAGGTTAGTAGTTCTTCCTACCAATCCAAAGAGTGTGTTCTCCAGCTTTCTTGGTGGCAGCATCCTTGGGAAGATGACTTCTCCCTCAGATGGTCATTTGATGGGCACAGAATAAGCCTAAAGTGGGTAGGGTTATTTGGAAGAGGCTGGACACTCCTCCCAGGGTGTGGCCATCTCTGGACAGTGGCCCTTCTTGGCTAACGCTCTTCCTACTACCCGAAATCCTGTTGATAGATTTGCCTCTGGGAATCGTGGTATCCTTTGCTGATGAGTGTCTGTTCACCATCTTCATTAGAGATATTGATGTCACAGAATAGCTGTCACCAAAAGCTGCCCCATTCAGGCTGCATCTATCATTGTGAGTGGATTGACTCAACATTGTAGAGGGCCAACCTCTCCTCCCTGCCTAAGTCATCCACCTGCAGATCTTCCTTCTGGGTTTTTTCCATGTTCACCTGTGTTCTCTGCTCTTAGAGGCAGGGTTGGTCTGCATTTATTTCCAGCTTTATTGAGATATAATTGATATACAGCATTGTGTAAGTTAAAAGTGTACAGCGTGGTGATTTGATGTATGTGTATGTTACAAAATGATTACCACAATAAGGTTAGCTTAGACATTTACCACCTCACATAGTTAAACTTCTGTGTGTGTGATCAGAATTTTTAAAATCTCCTCTCTTAGCAACTTTCTAATATGCAATACAGTAGTGTTAACTACAGTTATCATAGGTTTGGTCTCTATTTTTATCAAGATGAGGAAAATATCAGTAGACTGAGAGTCAAGGAATCGACCTCTTTCATTAATTCTCTGTGTGATCATGGAGCAGCCTCTGGCCCTCTCTGGGTTTCCTGTCCCTCACCGGCACCTACAATTCTGTGATTCTGGAACTAAGAAGAGTAAGAAGGCAAGGACAACATAGTATGAGGTTCTTCACTGCAAAAGGTTCAATCTAAGAAGAAGGAGGAGGAAAAAAACAAAAATAGTCACCACCATTTATTCGCGCTTGCTTTGCCAGGTACTGTGAGCACTGTGAGGGCAATCTTACTAAATCCTCACAATAATCCTGAGAGGTTGAGGATTTTTCAAATGAGGAAAGTGAGCCTCAGAGATGTCAAGTAACTTGCCTAAGGTCACAGAGTTAATATGTTGAGACTTCATCACAGATCTCAGTCTGCCATCGGAGTCCTTCTGCTTTTGAAAAGCCCAGAACTCAGAAGCAGTAGTGGGTCTGATCCAGCTGTGCTCTCAGGGCCAACTGTCTTTTTCAAATGTGCCTTCCTTTGTTAAGACGCAGACATCATTGCTATTTAGGGCTTTTCAATGAACTTCCCTGTTTTCTTCCTATTCTGTCTTACTCGGCAAAATGAATGCATGAATGTTTTTTATGATACAAATTTAATTTCCATTTAGAAATGAAAGTATTTGCCTCTCTACTTTAATTTCCCAAGCCAAAAGATTTTTTCTGTCTTTTTTTGGGAGTCCACAAATAAGTTAAAATTTAATTAAATGTTTTATAATTCAACAGTTGCCAAGAGGTTCAAGTGATAATGGAGCAAACTTGTTGATAGCCTGAGAAGAATGCCCCACCTCTGTTAGTTGTTTGAGCCAACTTTCCAGAAGATTCTCCCCACCCACTCTACTCCTAATGCCTTTCAATATTCATATGCTTTTCTCACATCTTAAGATCCCTATGCCCTCACATACCTCCTTTACTTATGCCATTCACTGAAGCCAGAGTGACATCCCTTTCTCTGCCTGGAGAGCTCCTTATCCCTAAAGAGTCCAGTCTGACTACTTGTGTGACCAATTAATATAAAGTATATTTATTTGTTTACTTCTCTGTTCTGCAGGTGAATGTTAAATCAATGAGGGCAGAGGCCTGGTCTCTCTCATCTTTGGAACCACTCTGGATCTGAGCCCACATAATGCATATAATATATGCTCAATAACGATTTTGCAATAATTTTGTGTGTATGCATCCATAGCCAAGCATTTCCATGCCCTTTGACCCAGTTATTCCTATGATGAGGAATTTATCCAGAGGATATCATTGAAGAGGAGAAAGAGAATTACACAGATAGAAGTGCCGTAAAATATGTATTTGCTAAATAGTGGAACAAGCATAATGGTGAGTAAATTATAGTACACGATCTTGATGGAACATGATTCATTCTCATTGATTAAACCAACATATTGACTGCCAAGGAGATGTCAGAAATACAGCAATGAGTCAGATGCCTTCAACAAGTACACAACCTGGCACATCCTTCTAGAGGGATCATTACAAAACTATACAGAAACAGAACTATTTGTGGCCTAACATTAAGAGAAAAATAGCAGATTACAAAACAATCTGTACATGATGCTTTCAAATCTAAACAGTGTGAAAGTGTGAACATGTTCTGGGTGGGCAAATGAAGGTATTGCATGGTTAGGTTATAGATGACATTCTCTTTAGCGTTATTACAATTGCTTTTTCAAGCTCTAAAGTATTAGACCAACCCAAATGTTTACTGAAAAGGCGGTGGGGGAAAGCTGCTCCTGGGACCCTGGCTCTCCAGGTTGGGCAGGGCCCATAAATGATGGGGCAGGGGCTCTCTAGATGGGCAGGGCCTGCCATGAAGCAATTGGAAAGGCATATTCAAAGCAACTGGAGGACTTGGTCAGGGAAGACTATCAATCTATATTTGTAGGAGTGTCCATTGAGTGCCACTGTAGGAACCAGCCTTCTCTGTATTTGAGCTACATCAAAGAGCAGAGTCAAGGCTCTGTCAACACTGCTCCTTTAGCACTGTGCCAGGTGGGTGGAAAGCCAAAGTCTGGTTCCCAGATAAGAGAGTTGAGACCTGCAAGAGTTGGTAGTTGGTTCCTCATGCTGGAAAGGATATTCCCTATATGAAAAGTACCATTGTCTCCATCCTACAGATGAGGAAGCTGAGGCTGGGCCGGACCCAAGCTACCCAGCAGGCAAGTAATGAGCTGGAATTGGAAACCATCCTGGCTCAGTCTGGGCCAGGGTTCTTTCTATATGTCTCCCTGGGCCTGATGATGCATAAGGCTGGATGGAAGAGACCTGGATGGCTGAGAGGCTGGATATTTGGGGAATGGAAAGAAATGGGGAACCTGTTGGTGTGACTCACCAACTGGAGGGTGGTATGATGGAGGGTCTCAGATTTGAAGCAGTAGGCACTGGGTGACCATTGTAGGTTTGGGGTATGATAGAAAAGAGTTTAAGGAAGAGGAGGCTGGTAGCATGTGCTGGCTGGTGTGATCAGTGAGGAGACTGGGCCAGACACATGGTAAAGTTGGTGGGCATCTCTCGTTCTGGCAGGTCAGAACAATACCTGCCCCTTGAGTTTCTTAGAGATATGTCTTCCTGCATCTCTAACCATGAGATTGGAATGGAAGTTGCCATCTTATCTACTGTCTCTCTGTGGATACAGCCTGGTCCAGGGATGGACATCTGATTCAAATCTGGCCAATGAGAGCCCTTCCCTGGGAATTTTAACCTTGGGACCAGTCTCTCACTATTAGCTAAGCTGAGTCTGGAAGCTCTGTCACCACTCAGAGATTTGAGAGCCTCAGAGAGAGGAAATTCTAGCTGAACGCAAGTTCTAGTTTCTACTTTGAGGGCTTAGCCACTCTCTTGCTCATACCACCATGTGAATAATACTCCCCACCTCCTCTTTAGCTAAGCTGGTCTGAGTTTAATCTTTGTCATTTGCAAACAAAAAGCTCTAATATTTGCTGTTAGGGACATGCCTACTCTTTATCAGTCAAATTTTGGGCAGAATTCTAAAAAATGCTTTAGGATTGTTTTTGGGCATTCGGTTCATCATCTCTTATATATAAGAAACAAAAAAGGTCTGTCCTCACTATTCAGTGTCAGGCTCAGGAACTCTGGGCTCTCTGTGGGGACAAGGCTTTGGTATCTCTTCAGAGAAGGATGGACCCATCTCCATCACTGGTGTGGTGAGTAAAATTGCTGCTTAGTATGCTTTCCCGCCTGCTTGTTTGTGATTCAGTCCGGGAGAAACTGACATGGACAGGATGCCCACACAGGACAGCCAGACATTTCCTATACAAGTGGTAAAGATATCTCCTGAACTTCTCTCCAGCAAATGCATAGATAAAGGGATTGAGGCAACAGTGGGTAAATGCGATTGTCTCAGTCACACTGAGGGCCAACCTTAGATCCCTCTTCATGTCACAATTGGGAAAGAAGTCATAGAGATTAAGTGTCTCTAAGAAAATCATGATGTTGTAGGGTGTCCAGAAGAGGAAAAACACGATGACCACCAGAAATATCAGTTTGATGGCTTTGGCTTTCTTGTGGTTCTTACAGGAAAACAGTGTCCGCATGATTCTGAAGTAACAGTAACTCATAATGAGCAGGGGGAGCAGGAAGCCAAGCAAATTCGCTTCCACATTGCGGAGCACAGGCCAGAGTTCCTGCAAGACCTCAGGGTAGTCACCAAGGCATTCATTTGCTTTTTGTTTCGTGAACATGAACTGAGGCGTTGCCACCAAGATAGCTGCTGCCCAGACACCGAGACTGATGGTGACGCCATGCTGCACAGTCCGGTTGTTCATGGAGTTGGCTGCCAGGACAATGGCCAGGTACCTATCAATGCTGATCACAGTGATGAAGAATATACCTCCAAAAAAGCCAATGAAGAAGAATGCGGTGGTGAGTTTGCACACAGCATTGTGAAAGCCTTGTTCACTCATCAGGTAGTGAGTCCAGAAGGGTAAGGTGGCCACAAAGAGCAGATCAGATAAAGCCAGGTTCAGGAGGTAAATGTCGGTGATACTCCTGGGCTTCTGGCTGTTGGTGAGGGCAAACACCACCAGCAAATTTCCCAGCAGCCCAAAGGCAAAGACAAGGGAGTAGAGTATGGACAGGAAGACAGTCCCAATGGCCACGATGTCCCCCAAATCACAGGCTTCAGCAGACTCATCGTACTCAAAGTATTCTAAAATCGATTCAGGGGAGTAGGTGGGCATGGTGAAAGCCTGGATCAGAAAGGAAAACAAATAGCAACATTAGTTCTCAGAGAAACAAAGTTGGGATTCTATTTGGTCCCACACATAAGCAGGCTGGAAGAAACAAATATTGATTGCATGTCTGACCAATATATGTCCCAATGTCACGCATGTCATCTTGCTTAATCCCCACACCAGACTCTTTTTTTTTATTTTTTTTAAATTAAATTAAATCAAATTTTTTTATTGGAGTTCAATTTGCCAACATATAGCATAACACTCAGTGCTAAAAAAAAAAACACTCAGTGCTCATCCCATCAAGTGCCCCCCTCAGTGCCCGTCACCCAGTCACCCCCACCCCCCGCCCACCTCCCCTTCCACCACCCCTAGTTCATTTCCCAGAGTTAGGAGTCTCTCATGTTCTGTCTCCCTTTCTGATATTTCCCACTCATTTTTTCTCCTTTCCCCTTTATTCCCTTTCACTATTATTTATATTCCTCAAATGAAGGAGACCATATAATGTTTGTCCTTCTCCTATTGACTTATTTCGCTCAGCATAATACCCTCCAGTTCCATCCACGTCGAAGCAAATGGTGGGTATTTGTCGTTTCTAATGGCTGAGTAATATTCCATTGTATACATAGACCACATCTTCTTTATCCATTCATCTTTCGATGGACACCGAGGCTCCTTCCACAGTTTGGCTATTGTGGCCATTGATGCTAGAAACATCGGGGTGCAGGTGTCCGGCGTTTCATTGCATCTGTATCTTTGGGGTAAATCCCCAGCAGTGTAATTGCTGGGCCGTAGGGCAGGTCTATTTTTAACTCTTTGAGGAACCTCCACGCAGTTTTCCAGAGTGGCTGCACCAGTTCACATTCCCACCAACAGTGCAAGAGGGTTCCCTTTTCTCCGCATCCTCTCCAACATTTGTGGCTTCCTGCCTTGTTAATTTTCCCCATTCTCACTGGTGTGAGGTGGGATCTCATTGTGGTTTTGATTTGTATTTCCCTGATGGCAAGTGATGCGGAGCATTTTCTCATGTGCTTGTTGGCCATGTGTATGTCTTCCTCTGTGAGATTTCTGTTCATGTCTTTTGCCCATTTCATAATTGGATTGTTTGTTTCTTTGCTGTTGAGTTTAATAGTTCTTTATAGATCTTGGAAACTAGCCCTTTATCTGATACGTCATTTGCAAATATCTTCTCCCATTCTGTAGGTTGTCTTTTAGTTTTGTTGACTGTTTCTTTTGCTGTGCAGAAGCTTCTCATCTTGATGAAGTCCCAGTAGTTCATTTTTGCTTTTGTTTCTCTTGCCTTCATGGATGTATCTTGCAAGAAGCTGCTGTGGCCAAGTTCAAAAAGGGTAGAATTTTGATGGAATCTTGTCTCACATTTAGATCTTTCATCCATTTTGAGTTTATCCTTGTGTATGGCCCACACCAGACTCTTGATGGAGTCTGTAACAGATTCCTCTGACAGAAGAGGAAATCAGGTCTCTGAGAGGTTCAAGGATTTGCCCAAGGCTATGCAGTGAATGCCTCAGCTAGCATTTGAATCTAGAGCTTTTGAAACTTGGGACAGATAATTTCTTCTTTGATTTTCAAATATCTATCCAAAAGATTGACTAGTGTGTGGGTAGCGGGTGATAAGACTGTGGGCGTAGAGAAGAGGGAGTAGGATGGTAGGGGTGCAATCATAATTCACATGTCTAGTCCAAACTTCCTGAAGCAATTATCTATCTCCTTCCTTATTCCCACCTCCTCTACCCTTTGAGACTGAAGAGAGAGGTCTTACACACTCTTCAGACACACAGCCCTGAGCAGACCTGTACCCAGAAGCCCCTCATCTTTGTTTTTGAGAGCCTTTTCTCTTCCTCTTGGAACCAACAGGTCCTTCTCACCCTTAAGGGGTAAGATACAGAGTCAAACACTTTAGAGTGACCACCTTGTCTCAGTTTGCCCAGGACTTTTCTGGGTTTAGTGCCAAAGTTGGAAACACCTCAGTTCTAAGAAGACAGCCATTCCACAGGTCCAAATGAAGAGGAGTGTTGCCATTGCCAGAGGGCCTCTGCTTTCATGAAAGGACTGATCAATCCTGTATGGGGGATCATGCTCAGTTAGACTGCTGTACTGGGCCCAGGTAGCTAATTCACTCCATACTTATCAGCCATGCATTCACTGTGGCTTGTCCTTCCCCACGATTCATAAGAGTTTTGTTCCTTTAGAACAAAAACCAAAGGAGAAGACATTACTGCACAGGTTGAGAAGCAACATTTGTCCCCTTCTCCCCTGATCTGCCCAGCCAGGACTCGCTTGTCATTCACTCCAGGAACTGTAGGGGCGACCCTTTCACTCTGGCCACTGAGAACCCCCAAGCATATTCAGAGCAAATCTCCTGGTTGTCATTGTCTCCCTCCCTACCACAACTGAAAACAAAGTTCACACCTTTTTAACCAAGGGAGTTTCCACACCCCACTGCATCCTTTTCATGCTGGTTTTACCAAATGAGGGCCCACCCTCCCAGCCAAGGCTTTGCTTCTCTCTTCCCAGGCTCGGCTTTGTGTTCTGGTCCATCTCTGCATCTCAGATTCTTCCAGGAAGAGGTGGGTTAAGCCTTTCCAACCTGGGCCATCTCAGGCTGGGATGGAGTTCTCAACCCCCAGGGAAATAGTATGCTTTCTTGGCTTTAAGCCACAATGCCCTTTTCTCAGAGATAGACCTCTGTCTGCGATCTTAATCAACAATATTTAAGTTTAACTACATAAAATGGCTGATGAGCTACCCTTTTTGAGCTATACCAATGTCCATTTCAAATGGCTCAAGCTGAGAGAGGGGGAGACAGGGAAATTCCTACTCAGTGCAGGTAGCTTTTGGCAGCAGCACATTTTCCCAGAAGCACAGCTGTGTGAGAGTGGAAATAGTCAAGCCCAAGGTGGTCAGTCATAAGTTAGGAAAGCTAGAGCTACCACCTTCTCCCTTTCCTCCTAGTGAAAGGAGCTGGTACAGTTGGCCTTGAGAGAAGGCCAAGGAAGAGAAAGATTGTGTGGTATTTCTTTTTTTCTTTTTTTTATATATAAATTTATTTTTTTATTGGTGTTCAATTTGCCAACATATAGAATAACACCCAGTGCTCATCCTGTCAAGTGCCCACCTCAGTGCCCGTCACCCAGTCACCCCCACCCCCCGCCCACCACCCCTTCCACCACTCCTAGTTGTGTGGTATTTCTTAGTGCCTGTGTGCAGTCCTGCAGCCTAGGAACTTTATACTGATGGATTGGCTTGATTTTGCCAAATCTGCATGAAGTAGATTTAATTTCCACTCTTGACACTGTGCCTTATACACAGGGACCACCTCTAAATCTTCCAGCAGGTGTCTCTGGGTCATAGCGGAGGGAGAACAGGTAGTGGGCAGACTCAGGCTCTCCTGTGGCTGAATCTCATGTCTGTTTCTCTGGCCAAGTGACCTCGGGTGAACTTGGAACCTCTGGCTCTGACATTCCTCATCTGCAAGACTGAGTGCAACTCATTCTCAAGTCTGCCCACAGTGCTGTTCTGAGGAGAGGACCTGGCAAGGTGTGTTTCATACAGCAGGCACTTAATAAATGCATGTGGTGAGGAAGCAGAAGCACTTTGGAACTTTGCAATCATCCAGGTTGCCTGCAAACTCTTGTGCTGTTTACTTCCACCTTAGGCATTGTGGAAACTTGGTCTGTAAAGTCTGTTTCATTTTTTTCCCTGAAATAAAAAATATTTTCCTTTCAGATTTTTGTTGGGGGAGGGAGAAGTAGGGAGTAAAGCAAATCTTTACTGAGTTTTTACTCAAGTGTCAGGCTTATTGTTAAACACATATTACCTATTTTGGGAAAAAAAATCATTAATTGACTTGAAATTTTAAAAATAAAAATAATACGAGTTATATGAGAAATTAAATAAGCAAGCAGACAGTCTAATATGATAACCAGCACATAGTACATGCTCAATACATGGTAGTTAACACATAACAGGATACTTATCTCTACTTTAAGGGCAAGTAGATGCACTGAGAGAGGGTGAGTCACTTGCTCCAGGCCACACAGCTGGTGTGTGACAGGGCTGCTGTTTGAGCCCATTTGTGGTCAGCCTGTCTGCCCTGCCCAAGACTGGGAGTTCCTGAGAAAGGAACAGGGTCCACTTCAGCTCTGTAGACCAGTGTTCAGCAGAGGGAGGAACCTGGCACCAAGCAAATGCCACAGTAATATTTGTAGAAGGATAAACACTGTCTCCTAGACTTTCATTCCAAATTGCTTTGTGAGAGTAGTAGTGACAATGGCCTTTCAATCGTCCAGTTCCTAGAGCTGCCCACAGGGCACACCAATGTCCTTTCTGACCCCAGGCCAGGGGCCTTTGCTTGAACCCTGGGTTATTTGTGAATGCCTAGTGTGTTGAATGAAGGAATGAGTGTGTGAGTGAATGAATGAATGAATGAATGAATGAAAGGCATAGAGAAGCGAGGGAAGTGCCACTTTTGTCACATTGCAGAGCTCCGGGAGATAAGTCCAGACCCACCAGCTCTCCAGGCTAAGAATTCACAGCTGCCCATGTCAGCACACTCTTCCGTGCCAGGGTCAGGACCTGGCTCTGCCTCACCTCATGGCTCAGGGGTGGCCCAGGGTTCTATGCAGTTGGGAAAGGCAGCTGCAGTCTGAGCCCTTGGGCCAGTTTGAACCCAGCTTTGCTGGTTGAGGAGCCCAGAGCATGCGAGGGTGCCATTTACATCAGAAACCTGACATCAAGGAAGAACGTCACTGTATTATCCCTGTTGAACTTCACAGCCTTATCAGGGGAGGGACCTTTTTAGGAAGGGTGGGCCTGAGCTCAGTGGTCTTCTTATTATTTCCAGATCCTCTGAGATGTCCCATGATTGACAGCCAAAGATGAGGCCTCTTGGCAGCAGATGGGAGTAGGGCCTGTCCTCAAGGGTGGCCTTCAGGGCAGGTTGAAGGGCCACCAGGGATCTTATTGGCTAGACACTGGCTTTCTGGGCCTCTGAGGAATCCAAGGAGATAAGCCTTCTTTGGAGGGCCTACTCAGCCAAGTCTCCTACAGCTGGGGGTGCGGGAGGAAAGATGCGATGCGTGCCCGACTCGCTGAGGGCTGTGGCCAGCAAGAACACAAATCCCTCCAGGCTGTTCCCAGGTCTCCTCAACCTCTCTTCCCATAAATCAAGGTTTACTAAATAACGGTGAACTGCAAGACTTTGAGCTGAACGCAGAAGCAGAGCTTTGAATGCACATGTGTTTCATACTCAAGTAGAAATGAACCCTCCCTTATCAACTCGCTTGCTCGCCTCCATCTCCGATCCGGCACTGCTTCCTCTGGCCCATTTCCTTTTCTCAAGCCTGCTCATTTATTTTTCAACTTTTTTTGGGTCATCATTTACCCGTTGTTTCCAATCAGCTTCCCTGTTCTCCACTTCCCTTTTCATTTAAGTGGCCCAAGTCCACTTTCCTCTTCTGTCTCACATCCCCTTCGGGTTGCTTCCCCGTCTTTTGGCTTCACATCCTGCTTACTGTCTGCTAGACCCGGGTGTCTTCCTTTTGTTTGATGTTTGTTTGTTTTCCCTCCTTGCTCTCGGCTTATAGCTTTTTAGACCTCTGAGTGAAGAGTGAGCGGGTTGGAGGTTCTGTTGGTTTCTGATGTCAAGAAAATTGTGGTTTGATGTTTTTCCTTTGAATGGAAGGAAATTAGAGGCTAGTAAAGATTGCTCGAGCCCTGACCCCAGCGTTCGTGGGGATGCCACTGGGCCCAGACCATTCCAGAGTCTGGAGCTACCCTCAGAAAGCCCAGCGTGGAAGGAGAGGAGGTCTCCTGAGTGCCACGCTCTGTACACAAGATCCTACTTAATTCTCTGAACAACCTCACATGAGAATGGTTGCCCTTTCTGTGCAAATGAACCAATGGCAGCTCTGAGAGATCTGGAAACTCATCCAAGGAGCAATAGAGCCAGGATTTCAGCCCACATGTGCCTCTCTACAGAGCCACCAGGCTTTCCCTCTTGGAGGGCAACTCTGCAGCTTATCACACATCACTTCTCTAGATCTAGAACTGAGAAATAGTAGAGGCAGCGCCCCCCCTGGAAAGAAGGTGATCCGTGATGCAAGTCTGCACACTTTTCTGGGGTTTCTCTCCTCTGGACTCAGAATCTGCCAGGCTGACTCTGAGGGGAAAGGCAGGCCAGTCAGGAGATGAGGAGGGTGGGGATATTCACCTCTCCAGCCATGACTAGGGGGTCCTCACTGCCAGACCCCCAGAATCTAGCTCTCATCAATCGCTGGCGAAGAAATCTGGAATCCTTTCTTCTGGAGAAGAAGAGGCTGAAGGCTGTAAGGTCTCTGATTTCCTGCCTTCAAATATATGGTGACCACGGTACACTTATGCTGAGCACTGAGTAATGTATGGAATTATTGAATCACTATATGGTACACCTGAAACTCATATAACACTGTATGTTAACAATACTGGAATTAAAATTAAAAGTTAATAAAAAAATATGGTGATGCTTTCCTGAGCCTGTGCTTCACAGGGGCCCACACAAAGCCCATGGATGACCAGAGAGCTCATTCTGGCTCTGCCTCAATTTCATCATATGTGAAATGAAAGCATCGACCAGATCATCCCTAAGGGCCCAGCCAGCTCTGGAAAACTTAATTTTTCGACGATAACCAAACAGAAGGAAGGACACCTGGGTGGCTCAGTAGTTGAACATCTGTCTTCGGCTCAGGGTGTGATCCCTGGGTCCTGAGATGAAGTCCCGCATCGACCTCACCACGAGGAGCCTGCTTCTCCCTCTGCCTGTGTCTCTGCCTCTCTCTATGTGTCTCATGAATAAATAAATAAAATCTTTTTTTTTTTTTTTTTAAAGAACCAAACAGAAGGAAATAGTCTTCAGGCACACCATGAGTCCTGCATCAGTGAATGCACGGCCTGGTGTCAGCTCAGCAGCCCACCCAGCAAACATGAAGCTTCTAGGCTCAAAGCCTGCCAGCATTTGGGTGGGGTTCTGTTTGGAGACAGAGAGCTGGATCAGTTGATTTTGGTCCTGACAAGTCTTGAGCCTCATCTTGTCCTAGATAGGAAGCTTTTGGGTCTGGTCCTAAGCCCACACCTCTGGTTCTTTGGATACCCGAGTTTTACCAGGTTCTGATGTTTTTCGCATTTGCAAAGACAGCTAATTTTCTAAGAGACACCCTGTGGGATGCAGGGAGAGGTAAGGATGAGAAGGCAAAAGAGGAGCAGATGGAGGGGTCTCACATTGCACGCTAAAGAGCTGTAATGGCACATTTTGCATCTTGCAGCCCCCCAACCCTATGCAAGTAAACTGAATGGCTCTCTCTACATCAGCGAGCAGCCTACCTGACACAACACAGCTTCACCCACCCACCAGCGTTTGGACCGGCCAAACCAGCAGCCCAACAGTCCCGACGCTGCTCAGTGAGCTGGTCCTTCATAGAGCCGCCCTCTGTTCTAGGTTTGACGCGCTTCCCTCTCGTTTCCTCTTCCAAGTACACTATGCTATTTGGTTATCTCTGCCAAACTGTGAAGTTCTGGAAGGAAATGCTTTAGGACTTTTCTCCAGTAATTGGGAGAGATGGTTTTTTTTTAAATTTTTTTATTTATGATAGTCACACACACAGAGAGAGAGAGGCAGAGACACAGGCAGAGGGAGAAGCAGGCTCCATGCACTGGGAGCCCGACGTGGGATTCAATCCCGGGTCTCCAGGATCGCACCCTGGGCCAAAGGCAGGCGCTAAACCGCTGTGCCACCCAGGGTTCCCATGAGATGGGTTTTAAATTAATTATTAATTAAGCTGGTATCTGTTATGTGTCTTAACCATATGCTTCTGCAAGGATGAATACAAATAGTAAATAAGAGGGTTACTTCTCTGGTTGAAAATAAGGGAAGAGACTCTACTTTGCCTCCTCCCTCCCTTCTTCCTGGGGCACTTGCTTTAGAAAACTTGTCACTGGAAGAACTTTCTCCTCTCTCAACTATGGGTATGTGTCTTTTCTAAAATGTGATCACCCCTTTTGTCAGCTTTATGACCCAGGAATCTTTCTCAAGGACCTGGGGGCCCTCTCTTTGAAAAGCAAACATAAAGAATTAGGGCTCCTGGAGCACCTGGGTGGCTCTATTGGTTAGAAGTCTGCCTTGGGCTTAGGTCCTGATCTCAGGGTTCTGGGGACGAGCCCCAAATAGGGCTTTCTGCTCAGGGGAGAGTCTGCATCTCCCTCTCCCCTCCTCCTGCTTGTGTTCTCTCTCTCAAATAAATAAAATCTTAAAAAAAAAAAGAATTAGCGCCCTTGTCACCCAGTTTCTTTGGAACGGTGGGAGCCTAACTTGGGTGGGTGCCTTGCTCCAAGTTGCAAAAATACCTCCCATCATAAGGGATATGAGTTTATTTCTTCTCTGGATGAAGCCAGTCAGCTAACACAGATGGTCACCCCAGTTACCATGGTAAAGTTAGGATGACTATGTATGACTGTCGAGTTCTCTTGCTTGAGAACTAGGTATGTGTCTCTCACATTACAGATTGTATCAGCTTGGCTCTATAAAAGGGTAAGAGTTTTTTTACTCCATCTTTGCAATCTCTTAGCAGATTGCCCAAGATGTGTATCACATTCTTGTTTCATGCCTAGTTAATAATAAAAATGTTTCCCTTCTCTATTATCTCTGTGAGAGGTTTTTCTGGGTTAGAGATCTTATTTTTAATTTTATTTCCCCAACACAAGGCACTGTGTTCAATTTGATGGAGGTAAAAATGGCTAAGATACCATCTCAAAATTGCTGTTAACGTTTAGTAACAGAATACATGAAAAGTTAGGGAAAACCCAAGGGTTGGATTACTTACGCTGAGTCTTAAACTTGGGGGATCTTCCAGGTAGTCAGAGATGGGGGTGGGAAGTGGGGATGGGGGCACTGAAGACCCAAGACACTAAGGGTCTGAACCCAGGGACGTTTCCCGGAGTCAAGGCTCAGCACGGAGAGTATGAGGGAATATACCAGAAACAGATGGAAGTGAGGATGGTGCAGTGTGGTTAGAAGGGGCCAGTATGCTCCTGGAGCCTTCATGGGAGTCGAGTTTTGATTGAGTGGAGGGTTCAGGAAAAGATGCAGAGAAAGCAAGGGCCGAGAAGGCAGAAGAAGGGTGAACAGAGTCCTCAAGTTCCACACTAAGGAACTGTAGGAGAATTATAAGACTTTGTAAGGGGGGGGGAGTCACTGGATGCCCTATCTTACACACCCTTCAGGGCTACCTCTCCCTTTCATTGCCTGGCCAATATATAGCTCTATAAGTTTGGGAGACTGATAGCAATGCAATAATCGTGCTTGCAGAAATAGAAACTGTAGCTAGGGGAGATGTGCTTGATAACTGTCCGGTGGTTAGGGACTAATTTTGTATTTATCTATACATTCCTCCCAGAGTTTCTGGAAGTATCTCATTCATGCTATTGCTGTGGCTGGTGTCTGCTCATCGCATAGCTGAATAGGCAGGCACTGTATGAGCGTTCCGTGGTGATCTATCCCACTACTGATTCACACCTGGGTGGCTTTCAGCATGGGGCCTCTATGGACAACACTGCCATGAGCATTTGTGTGTGTGCATCTATATCTCCCACAGCATGGATGCATATTAAAAATGCAGACCCAAAAGCAGACCTACTGTGTGAATCCATGCATATGAAGGTCAAAAACAGGCAATGATAATGTGTGTAGTTAGGGATGCACATCTAGGTGGTAAAACTCTAAGGATGAGCAAGGAAGCGGTGACTTCTGGAGGGAGGGGTGGCAGTCAGGAAGGGATATAAGGGAGACTGCTGGGGGCCAGCCTGGGTCTCTCCTGCTGCCTGGCTGGTGGTTGGGTGGGAGGTTGATTTATAAGCTGCTAACCTGCACAGTGCTCTTTGAGTGTGCTGTATTTCACAATGAGCATAGGTTTAAGGAAAAGGACAAAGAGGGCCTGCAAAAACATTTTTTTTATATTTAAAGAGAGGTGCCTGGGTGGCTCAGTGGGTTGAGTGCCTGACTTGATTTTGGCTCTTGTCATGATCTCAGAGTCGTGAAATCCTGAGGCTCTGCACTTGGTATGGAGTCTGCTTAAGATTCTCTCTCTTTCTCTCTCTCTCTCAAATAAATAAATAAATAAATAAATAAATAAAATATTTTTAAAAATATATTTATAGAGATGTGATATAGATTTTCTTCCCTACAAAGATGCATAACTCAAAATAGTTGTTCTTTGGCCAAATCAGAAGAGGAGGTAGTTGAAGCCTGTCTGTGGCTGCAGAACCATGAGAATTGCAGCCCCCGAATGCACTGCCCCAAATGCAGCCAGTGCATTCTGAGCCCCATGGAGGGCGAGCAAGATCAGGACTCAGCTGGAAGCCTGAACTTTGGCACTCCTGGGCAGAGTTGGTGATGCAAGCCCTTGGAATCCCTAGACTGTGCTGCGGGGAATCAGAGCAGGTTCCCCGAAATGTCAGCGGAGTCCTGGCCTTTGCTGCCATGGCTCCACCTCCTGGCAACTGTGATCCGTTGTGGGACAGTGGAGTTCCCTTCCCTGGTTAGCTCATCTGCTGTGGGTGCTGACTCTGGACATCTTCAAGAGGGAAATATTTGACCCTGAGTAAAACAGGGGGTAGCCGAGGACCCTATTCCAGGTGAGAGGCTGGGCTGGGGAGGGGGTAGCTGAATGTCCCAGACCCTGAGAAGGAAGGTCTTTGAGGCCAGAGTTTCTGCAGTGCTGAGACCTTCCACAGCCTGGTCAGGGTGGGAGTGAGGTGTCTCCTGGAAGAGGGTGGTTTGGGGAATGGAAGCTGTTTCTGATCTGGGTGGACTCTCGCATACCCCTTCCCTTCTCACAACCTCATTTGAATGTGATTAGGGGTCTTAAGGTACACAAATCTTCTGATCTTCAGGTTCCCACGATGACAACACATATTATTTATTGAGCACCAAATATGGGCCAGACGATGGGGTCAGAACTTTATATACCTTGCCTTTAATACAGATTTTCAACCGATACCCATCACTGGGCTTGAGAGATTATCAATTCATGGCTGGTATTCATTTTAAAGCAGGACTTGAATGAGGCTTAGCAAGGTCAAGTGCAGAGTCAGGGCTTCATTCCAAAGCCAAGCTGCCTCTCCCACCCACTGTGAAGCAGGGAGAGTAACAGTTGTAGAGCTTGGCTAAGGTATGGCTGGTCTGTGGCTGACACAGCGGGGCTTCCTTCTGGGGGGTGTTGGCAAGAGCCACAACCTGCCCTGCATCCCTGTGTGAAAATGAAGCCAAGCCAAGAGGCAGGCAAAGGCTGTAAATCTGTATCTGCGCATGTACACACGGGGACACACACACACACACACACACACACACACACACACACACAGTGGTGCCCAAGGCTCAACAGCCCGGTTGCCACCTGCCTCCTCTTAGAGAGCCCAGTCCCCTCCCAGAGCAGACCTGGAAGGCCCACAGGAGCTTCACCAGGAAGCTAGCTAACTTGCTTGCTTTCCTGCTTGCTTTCTTCTCTCTTTTTTCCCTCCCTTTGAGAAAAGGGAAAGAGAGGGTTTGCTCAATGGGGAGGGAGAGAGACAAGCAGACTGTGCTGAGCTCGGAGGTGACATGGACAGGTCTCACAATCCTAAGATCAGACCTGAGCTGAAATCAAGAGTCTGAGAGCCAACTGACTGAGCCATCCAGGGGCTCCACCAGAAAGCTTTCTTGTCCGTTTCTCACACAATCCAGTCTTCTTGTCTCCTTTAAGTTCAACTTTTGTCTACCTCAAGTTTTCTATCTGAAGTATTTGAAAAGGAAAATGAACATTTTTGGGAGAGGGAAAATCCTAAAACTCCCTGGTCTTTCTCTAAGCTCAACTGAGAACCTGCAGAACAGAGACTGCAGAATCTGTGAGGCCAAGATGGCCAGATAAAGGTCAAGCGAGGAGAAATGACAGGCCCAGTCAGTCCTCGCTTGAGGCCTCTACGTAGTTCCTCTTCTCTTGCACCATGTGTGCGTCTGCTCAGAATACCTGAGACTGTTTCCCACAACACAAACCTTCTGAGCCTGTGTCCTCACAATGGTTGTAACATCATATATTAACATCCAACATTGAACTTGTGTCAGGGATTTGTTCGTTAAAATAGTTGTCATTGTCAACGCAATAAGTGCTCTTTATAAAAAATGTAGATGGCACCAAAAAAGCACGGAAAGAAAACGAAAAAACAACATAGAAGCAAACTATTTACCACCCAGCTTCCCAGAATCGACCATAGATGGCTAGCTTTCCACCTTTCCCCATCCAATTGCTATGCATGTTTTATATTGGTATTAAGTATAGTTATTTTATATTTAAGATGCAGGTGCTATACTAAACATTTTTTATTATAAAGCTTTCAAACATACGTAAAAGCAGAGAGAACTGGCGCATGCCACACAGCTTCAATTGGCAACTCATGGTCATAATTTCATCTATTCCCCACTTCAAGCCCTAACAGATTACTTCAAAATAAATCCAGGTGTCAGAGCATTTCACCCATAAACAAGTAAGTGTGAGTCTCTAAAAGAATAAGAACTTTTTGTAAACAAAATAATGACTTCAATACTATTTCTCACTTTAAAAAGTTAATAATTCTTCCCTATCATCCAGATGCAATTTTAGACAATGCTTCTTTCAGTAATTACCTACCCACGAGCATTTCTCCGTGCCCCTAACATGTAATTACCAACACTTATCATATTCCGCGTCAAGTGCATCGTGGATGGTCTGACCACCATCCCTCAAGCCCCTTGGACATTAGGCTGCAACAGCTTTGGGAAAACAGTCCCTCTTGTTAGCATGTAAATCGAACCAGCGTTGGTGCCCACTGTGACCTCTGACCATTGTGCCCCGCCCCGAAGAGCCCACAGGTGCTGGCAAGTTCTCTGCTCCTACCTGGGCCGGGCCTGGGAAGGGAACCTCTGATGTATCAATCAGCCACCCTGTCCCACTGTCTCTGTCACAGACCATTTCCCTTTCCTTCCCTCTGAGGGCATCTTTATTTGCGAAGTTAGCCAATAGTATTGGGTTTCCTGTGAGGTAGACTATGTTTAGATGTTGTCACAGGCAAGCCCAGAAGCTCAGGCTAGTAGCCAGTTGGTGGCAGGAGGCTCTGAATTCACAAACCTGGAAGACAGGAGCCTGGGAGCAGACCCAGCCGGGTGTGAAAGACGTGAGGACGCGGGGGCAAATAACCTTGCAGGGAGGGCAGGGAACAGTGCAGGTCTCAGGAGCCACTAACACTCACTGAACCTCAATTTTCCTGCCTGTAAAAGGGGAGCCCACGACACTCCCTGGGCTGCACTGGGGCACAAATTAAATGAACAACAGCTTCTCCCTTCTCAGTGCGGTCCCGGTCACTGGGAGCCTACTTGTAATGCGGCACCTCGGGCCCACCACTGAATGAGTCTCTGCATTTTGATGAAACTCTTAGGAGGTTGCTATGTGCATGGATTTTAAGATCCATCGGCACAGAGAGCACCTAGTGAGTACCTGGCACCTGGTAGGTGCTTCTGAATTATTTGCCCTTCACCTCCCTCCTCCAAGGCTTTTAGTGGCTCCCTATTACACTCCAGTCAAGCCTAAGGTACATTTCTGCTGGGCACCCACAAACTGGTGCAGGCTCGTTCCCCAATGTCTCCCACAGCCCTTGCTGCTCCAGCTGGATGGGGAGCAGCTGGGTCCTACTCTTCCTGGCCATGTTCCTGCTCCCTACCCTGGCCAGCCCCATCCCCCTCTGCAGCTCCAACCTCAACCAGCATGGCCTCACTGCCTTCCCACCACTTCCTTACCTGCCTGGCCCACCTACAGGGCAAAAAATATTTCTGATCGCTCCCTCTTCTGGGGCCTACCCAGGATCGAGTACCCCCGGCACACATTTATTAAAGGGTCAGTGGCTCCTCCGAGGCCTTCCTGGCTCCTCGATGCCTGCCCTGCAGCCTGCGCCCAGCACCGCTGTGGTTCTAACAGCTGCATCTTCCTGCGGCCAGGGCTGGACTGCGTGATCCCCACCTGGCTTTCTCAGTCCTGGAGGCCAGGACAGGGCTGTGGGTGGGACTGCAGTGCCCCAGGCTGGGTGACCTGCTGGCGTTTGAGGAAGTCTGCGGCCAGTTTCCCTTCCTCATTTCCCTCTGGCCAGGAGACTGCAGCACCTCAACCCCCATGCCTGCCCTTCCTCATCGTCACCCACAGCCACCCGTCGCAGAGCCCACCCAGCAGGACAGCTGCTTCAGCCTCCCTTTGCCTGCCTAGGACTCCCCTCCTGCTTCTCTGAGTGCTCCTCTCTGGGATCCTGCCAAGACTCTCTCTTCCAGTTACACAATCTTCTTGGGCAATCTCATCCATGTCATTGTCTTCCTAGGGAACCTTGCTCACTGCCCTGTTACACTCATCAGCTGTCCTGTCTTCCTGGACAACCTCACCCCCTTCATGTCAGTGACTACCTCTATGATCTGATTCCACAGCCTTGTCTCCAGCCAGGGCCCAAAGAGTCTCCAATGCCCATCTGTGTCCTTCACACCTCTTGCCATTTATCCCATTGACCATTCTCCATCCGGAAGCCAGAGAGCTCTTTCCAAAATGCAAACTGCCAGCCTGAACCCTCCAGGGGTTCTCAAAGCTGGGAGTTTCAGTCCCAAGCTGGAAAGCATGGCGTTGGCATGATCCCACCCCTTCGGACTCCCATCCTGCTGTCACCATCCGCCCCACCCCCCCCAGCAAATGGGGCATGTTTGTGCCAGTTCCCTGGCCTTCCGAGTCTTACAGAATGATGTGCATGGTTGGCCCAGATCGATGCTTGCACACGAAGGAGGTTATGTGACAAGAGAAGAACCCCGAGCTTGAGGAACAGGCTATTTTATAGTAAGCTGTGAGCAAGCCTGCTCAACGGCCCAAGGGAGACATTACCTCATCCCTCGGGCTGGAAACATCACCCTGAGAAACAGGCCAAGGGAAGTGCAGCTGAGGCTTTGCATTCTCAGTGCCCTCTGATAGATGGTAGAGCCCAGCAGCCTTCCCCCTTGGGCCACACTTCCATGGACTTGGAAAAGGCACCTCAGGTTCTGCCCTGGGGACTTTCTCCTCTCTGGACCCCTGCTCATCCCTCCCCAGGTCTCCCATTCTCTGCTGCCTGGGGCCAGTCTTCATCCCTCACTTTCACAGCCTCTTTGGTTTTGACCCTTTGTTTGAGCTGTTCCTTGTGATGGGTAACAGAAAATGTTAGCACCAAATATGCCATTGGGTGTACCCATTATTTTGAGCTATAAGCCCTCAAGAAATAGCAAGTATTTCTGAACTCTTCCTCTCTATCTAAAGACAGTCTCCCAAAGGAGTTCAGGTGTCATAGAGCCCCCCTCCCCTGCCCGCCCGGGAGTTTCAACAAGCAGGGAGCATTGAGGCTTGTCAAAAGGAAAGAAACTAGAAGTCCTCACCACCCCTGAACACACTTGGCCACAAACCAACATACTTCCCATCTGGTCTTCCAAGGACCTGTTCATTTACCCTCTTCTGAGAAGAACACACACCCCTGCCCTTTCCCTACTAAACTGGTATTTATGTCTGAATTCTTTTTTTTTTTTTAAAGATTTTATTTATTTATTCATGAGAGACACAGAGAGAGAGGCAGAGACATAGGCAGAGGAAGTAGGCTCCCTGCCGATGCGGGACTCAATTCCAGGGCCCTGGGATTACGCCCTGAGCCAAAGGCTGATGCTGAACCACGGAGCCACCCAGGTGCCCCTTAAGCCTGAATTGTAGGCCACCGTGAGGAGGAGGCACTCATTTTTCCCTGCGTATCTCCCATGTATATATGACACATACATGTTAATAACCTTTTTTGTGTTTCTTTTGGTAACCTGTCTCTTATCTCAGGAGCCTCAACCTAGAACTCAGAAGGATAATTATTTTTCCTCCCCAACAGTTTCTGGTGACCCAGACGGGACCTCTGAGATGCCTTACAGATGGGATTCTGGGAAAACGGACAAAAGCCAGTGAAGGATAAGGATTATTTGTCCTCCCACACTTGCTTTTAAGTCCTTATCAGCCTCGTTTTCTCTTGCAGTTGAGACAGTAACTGCCTACAGTAGCCTAGTTTCTGTCGGGTGGAGGGTAAGTGGTGCTGGGCGGACTTGAAGGCAAGAGCCATGGTGGAGAGACGGTGAGGATGGGGGGCGGGAACAGCCTGGCAGTGATGGGCACAGACGCACAAGCAGGCGAGGACTGGAGACTTGGTTCAAATAAAGCTTTGTGGGAGAGACACAGCAAAGGGAAATGAGGATGTGATTGATTATGCCTTGCATGCCAGTCCACGGTATTCCCACTTTATGCTACAGGCTGGGGGAGTGTTTTCGGGATAACCACAGCAAACCTTTACATAGCATGGGAGATGTGCCAGTCAGTGTGCTAAGTCCTCTGTGCAGGTGAACTCATGTAACCGGTGACCCCAGAAGCACCTGTAACACTTACAGGAGGACACGGAGGGGAGGAGAGGTTATGTGACTTGTTCAAGGCCACACAGCTCATATGTGGCAGAGCCAGGATTTGAATTTAGCCTTTAGGTTTCCTGGTCTATGCCCCGCATTCTCTGGGGTAGGGTGGGGGGTAACGATGGATTCTTATGCTTTGTGTCTACTGTGCAGATATACACATGGTACAGAAACAGATAGTGTATCTATGTTGTAAAAATCTCATGAGAGGTGATTAAAAATATGATGTCTAAAAAGACCTATGTGGGGGATGATAATGGGAAAAAGTTAAGAGCAGTTGTCTCTGCTCTTAATCAGACCATGGAGCTGTATCTTGTGCTTCAAGCCTGGGGTTAGGGAGTAACAGGATGAAAGTGACATCTTCAGAAAAATAAACCAATGGTTGAGTGGACGTGAGGGAAAGCTGGCAGAGCAGATGGGAAGGAACAGATGCATGTCCGGAGCTTCTCCACGCCAGGCACTGGGCTAGGTATATTACCTATAAGGTCTCCTTTTGATCTTCACCTTCACATTTTTAGATGGTGAGATGGAGACAGGAGGAACAGGTCCTCGGCCACTAGCTGGAAAAGAGCCAGGGCAGGACTCGAACTTCCTGATTCTGAACGCAGGCAGGCAGAAGGCCGTGGACGGAGTAGATAGCAGGAGAGAGAGGGTGATTTGGCTAACGGAGAATGCAGAGCATTGGTGAAAGATTGAGTCTATTTAGGATTGGGCCCATTTAGATTGGGCCAGGGATTGTTTTGCTGCCATCAAGTCAGTACCTTTATACCAGTTTTCAGAAGCGGAAGGAGGTACTTCGTTCCTCTTCTCCCGCAAAGACCAGATGTAGAAAATTGGGAAGTTAGAAAGGAGTAAGAGTAGACAAAATAAATTCTATTTACTTGTTCCCTCTGCTTAATGTTTACATTTTAACACCACTGGTTAATTGCCACCAATTTCTTAGGCTTGTTTTCATAATTTCTGCTCTGTTTTCATAGTCTCCTGCTCGGGGACTAAAAGCACTCCTCTTTGATACAAAGGTAACAGGACCTGGCAAAGAGCTCCAGGAGCATTTTGGATGAAATATTTTTAGGCATCATTAAACTATTTTCTTGGAAACATTTAAAAAGTTCCACTCTTCTCCCTCCAAACATGGTGCGTGTTCCCAATCATGTAGAACCTACTAATGGAGAATAATGAAAAATGAACAAATGAATGCCAACTTGAGTTATAACAATATTTCCATTTTAGCCCTTTAAAGTACACGAGGAATTCAAATTAATTCCTAGAATGTCTTTATATTGCTTTCCGATGTTCTGGAGGGTCTGCTTTAGGAAAAAAAAAAGAAAATACAATAGCTGTCTTTCACAAGCAATGCCCTTAAAGCAGTTTTCTTTATTGCTGCTATAGAGATGATATAGTGCTCAATACCAGGGGGCAATAAAGCAGAGCCCCTGGGTTCCTATCATTGACCAGCTATTGAAAATAAGCT